TTTTTTAATTTCACTTTTACATAATTGGCCATTATTTCAGGATCCAAACTGTAACGGGTATTATGAAAGCCAACCTTTATGGAAATTTGGAACAATTGGGCTGTAACCACACAATAACCCATTAAATACACTTGTGTTTTTGAAGCTTATTCTAAATATTCTAAATGTAATGTTCATAAGATTTCTTAGAAAGTATAAATATTATTGGAAATAGCAGGTAGCTTTTTAGAATGCTTACTCTCAAATAAGTGTGAGATGTCTCAAAATACATTTTACAAGTTTAAGAATGCTATAGAATATCCTATGGCTTGTTTTAACCCCCTTCTGCTTGGAGCTGATAGGCAAATATGGAGAAAGTATATTTAATGTTCTCTTCGAGATAAGGAGTGTTTCGAGTATACTGGAAATTATGAACTCGTCTTAAAGATACATAATGTGCATTAAAATCGGATCTGCTTAGTCTGGAAAAATATGGTCAGCTGGAAAGTTGTTCAGGAGCAGGATGTGCCTTGGATGCCTTGCAAAAAATTGTGCAGTAAGTTGAACAAATTACGATTCCAACCTCTTTTTCACCGCTTGAGGAAACATGCTAGAGAAGAGATGGCAAGAAGAAACCCTTGGGTTGGGACTGTAGAAGACATGAGTTGCCTTTCCCCCATTTCAGCACAAAAGAGAGAACTAAACCAACAGGAGGTCTTCAATATTCCCTAGTTCCCATCTAGATAGGATTTTGGGAATACAGTATTTTCTTCTTTAAAAGAAAAAAAGTAAATTCTCCTTTGGGTCCAGCTTGACTCTTGGTGTGTATGTGGACACATCCATGTGGTTTTCTTGGCAGGTATTCAGAAGTGGTTTGCCACTGACTTCTTCCATGATGTTTTTAGACTTTCTGTTCTAGCCTCCAGCTTTGGGATTCCTTAGAGGTCTCCAGTGAAAGTCCTTACGTGAGTTGCATTAAATCTAGTGAATTCCTTTAAATAATATCATTTTTTTTTAATGCTTGCTCAGAAGCTTGAAAAAAAAGGCTCCTGCAGTGAGTAGCAGAAAGGAAATGGATTTGCATGATGTCTGAAGCACTTCTTCCAGCTATTTTCAAAGCTCTACAAATAATATTTTTTTTAATGCTTGCTCAAAAGCTTGAAAAAAGGCTCTGCAGTGACCAGCAGAAAGGAAATGCATTTGCATGATGTCTGAAGCACTTCTTCCCAGCCATTTTCAAAGCTCTACAAATCTGGCCTGACTCTGCTGAACTTCCTAGCGCAGAGAGAGTTCATGCAGATACTAAGAATGTAGGAATGTAGGGCGCTTGCTCAGTGGTGGGCAGAATTTTATGGCCCCCTTCTTGTACTGTACATTATGAGCCTGGAGTTTGTCAACCATCTGAAAATTCCAGTTATGTTTTCTTGATTCCTTAAAGTTCCTTCACTGAGTTGAACTAAGAGGATAGAGTTTTCCACAACTAAGAAATTGGTGGTAAAGACAGAACAGAAAGTGAGCATGTCAGTTCTTTTGTGATGGTTGTTCTAAGACCATACCTTCCAACTGAGAATATACCTATTCCTAAGTTCCAAATATAACTTGTTGGTATAACTATTAGTAATTGTCTCTGAATGAGTCATTAATAAGAACATAGTATGGCTGTCAGAGGCTGGGGGGAAAAACTTGTTATGTAAAGCAATATTATGGGCTTTCTGGAATTTCTGAATACAAAAATTTCCCAGGGCCTAACCAAGATCTGATTTGACATGCTTGCTTAACTTACTCCCCTAGTAAACAAAACTAACAAAATACATTCAGTATTACTTCCTATGTATCATTTGAATATTTCAGTGCAGAAAAGGGTACCCAAATTAACTTGGAATTAATTTGGAGGACTTGGAGCAGCTGTTTGAGGAGGAGAGATCACAAAATTTGGGACTGTTTGGCTTAAAGAAAAGCATGGATAAAGAGATGAAAGGTAAAAGAGGAATGTAAAGATGGATAGAAGTAACATTATTAACTCATGGGATTTGCTGTGATGGCATGCCAGACTTGCCACCAACTTGGTCTCAAAAAAGGTTGACAGATTCATGGAGAATAGGATGTATTTCTACAATGGCTATGTGGGAGGCCTGAAGGAGAGAGTGGTTCAGAATCTAGAAGAGCTGCAAGTCAACAGCCATTAACCAGCTCTTTTGTCTAATATGGATTCTACTAAAATACAGTAAAGTAACTTAAAGGAAGAGAAAAAAATTATGTAAAAGAACTGGAACCTCCAAATTAAGTCTGGAAATAATTTTCATGCTAAACTTGTGTTGATTCAATGTTTGTCTTCATTTCTAAACTTTTATTTGGCACCTGAGTCTATTTAACTGATCATGAGTTTCCAGTTAAAAGTAGAAGAGATCTTGGAAGCATGAACTTTTGGCAATCTGCAGGATCAGAGGAAGCATGTTTCTGAAAAACAAGAGCTGGAGAAGACTATTTTAGCTTCATGTCCCACTGACATTGTTTTCTATTGTGGGAAATTGGGAATTAGCGAACCCGGTAGCCTGAAGTATCTCGAGTTGTCCTTATAGTCATGCTTTTACCCTGCCAAAGATTAGATTGGATTGGATTGGATTGGATTGAGATGCTTGGTTGCAAGGCAGAAAGCAAAAACCCAGCAACAGATACTTGTTTTGTATATTTGTGTGAATAGTTGCTATATGTAATACATACTCAGTATTGTATGAGATGAGAAAAGGAAATATGATAACTAATATTATTAAAAAAAATCATTAAAAAATGGAACATCCAGGAATTCCATTGGATCTCCCAGCATAGAATTGATAGCAGTCACATAGAGGTCGAACTAAACTCATGATGTTGGGGACGTATTGCCAGCTTTCTTTCCTACATAATCACATGCACGCATATATAAGCAAGATAATGAAAGAGGAAATTTCCTTTTCATCAGCTGCTCTGGCAAAACTGAAGGGATCTCTACTGCTGGATTCAAGACAATAGTCTTCGCAGCCACTGCTTTATGAGTACAACACAGCAGGAAGGGAGGAAGAAGAGATACCTGTGAGCCTGCACACACACAGTTCTCTGGGGAGGGCGTTTGCAGAGACCATACAATGATTCAGGAGCCCCTTTGAGAAAGAGAGAACTGTTAAACACTTCAGCTTACGGTCACTCACTCACACACTCACAGCCTGTTGAGGCA